TTTTTTTTTTTTTTTTTTTTTTTTTTTTTTTTTTTTTTTTTTTTTTTTTTTTTTTTTTTTTTTTTTTGGCGTTGGATTCAGCGTAAAGAATACTACAACTAGAGAAGTTAAATTTGAAAAAATAATGATTTATGACCACGTTTTGATGATTTTTCCATGTAAATCCCCTTTTTTCCCCGGTCTTTTTGTTTCGTAATTTTGACCCTGTGCTTTTGGACATTGTTGTTAGGACCTCAAACCTAATAGGTACCTAAGTATTTCCTTCAACTAGACACTCTAAGCTTTAATATGAGCCCAAGAGCATCCTGGGGAAATGATTTCTAACCGTGCTACCCAGTCAGCAGCCTAATATTCTGTGAACGTTCTGATAATATTTCGAGGCAAATTCAAAATGTTCTGACAATGTTGTGAGAATATAACATTCTCAGAAGATTTTCGTGAGAGACAAAACGAAATCCCCAGAATATTCTGGGGATATTTGAAAATCCCCAAAATATTGTGCGCGGATATCCTCGGGATATTTGAAAAAATGCTTGAAAAGTCCACAGAATATTGTCGGGATGATCGCAGGATATTCGTTAAATCCGCAAAATATTCACAGAATAACATGTGGACATCGTCATCAGAGCGTTATTAGTCCTCCCTCCCTATTCAGCAGTGGATGAAATGAGCCCTGAATTAACTCTATTGAGAACGTTGAAAGAAAATTTGCCATGCACCATCCAACCTTTCCAGCTTGTGCAAAAATATTTTATAATTTTTTTGAGGACACCAGGTACTTAGAACATTATGAAAAAATTGAAAAAATTGTTTTGTTCCGATTTAGACAGATCAATTTATCTTAGTTTTTTTTTATCTACTCATGAATAGTTGAAAAATCAGCGAATTTTTGTTCAATTGTGCACGTTTTACGTACTGTCGTCAGAAAAAGTAGAAAACATATTTGCACATGCTGGAAACGTTGGATGGTCCATTGTAAATTTTCTTTCAACGTCCGCAAGGGAGTTAATTCAGGGATCATTTCATCCGCTGCTGAAAGGGGAGGTGATATGTTTTTTTGTTGTCCTTAAGGGAAGCAGAAAAAACATGCGTATCGTCTGAAACCACTAGGATGGCTAAATAACAGGTGTTTCTTTGCAATGTCCTAAATTTTACGATGAAAATTAGTCGTTAAAAACAACATTTAAAGCCATGAAAATCTGATTGCATTGAGATGTCGCAAGTCTCAATGAACAATTTTTTTTTTCTCAAAATGTTGCCACTCCTAGATAATACTCTTCACAGTCCTGAATTTTCCGACCATCCTCCAGTTCAATGCTTTGCTGATCACCACCGATAACCAACTTTTCCGTCTTTACCACATTAACTTCCATCCCCCACTTACGGTATACTTCCACTAACTTGCGCGTCATGTAGTTCGCATCTTCTTCGTCCTGAGCTATTACCACCTGATCATCAGCAAAGCACAGAGTATAAAGGGTGCCGCCTTCTCGTAGCGGGACGCCCATTCCTGAACAGCATCTTTTCCATTCTTTTAAAACTTCTTCCAGGTACACTTTAAATAAGGTTGGTGACAAACAACATCTTTGTTTAAGTCCCTTCGTAATTAAAAACCCCAACGATAACTCACCATGAGATTTAACCCTAGAAAAAGCCCCATCATAAAATTCTTTTATTGCACTGGTTAGTCCCCCACTAAAACCCCTCTTGTTCAAGGCTTCCCAAAGTTTCACCAATGGCACACTATCGTAAGCTTTCTGGAGATCCACAAACACTAGATGTAATTCCTGGCCTAATCCTTTCTTTTTCTCGATCACGTGGATGATAGTAAATAAGTGATCAATTGTTGACCGACCGGCTCTGAAACCTGCTTGCTCTTCCGCTTCATGTTCTTGCCACTCATCCTCGATTTTAGCTTTCAGAATTTTTCCATATACCTTGCTTAGGGTACATGCGACTGACAGTCCTCTATAATTATCGCACTCATCCTTTCTACCCTTCTTCTTGTACATAGGTGACACCCAAGACTCTTCCCATTCGATCGGCACCTTGCCACCTGCCAAGCAATCTTGCATCAGCTCTCTCAAACGCTGAAACAGCTTGCAGGTTCCACACTTGATCAACTCTGCAGGAATATTTCTCGGTCCCGGAGCTTTATCGTTCTTCAGCTCTCGTACGGCCTTTACCACGTCCTTCATGTGAATCTCCAAGTTATTATTATCATTAGTATACTCCAAGCTTACACCTCCATCTTGAAATTCAGGTCACCTTTCTGTCAGTAAATTTTTAAAATAACCCTCCAGTTTATCAATGGATATCGGAGATATTAAGTCCCGCTTCATGTCCCTTCGCAGTCCTTTCAGCAACTTCCGGCTCTCAGTACTTTTCCTTCCTCCTATATACGAGTCTATTCGATTACAGCTCCTCTCCCAAGATTCGTTCTTTTTCTTGGTGATGAGCCTTCGCACCTGCGTCTGAGCTTTTCTATACGCCTGTTTGTCTTCTGCTTTTTTAGAAAAAAGGAACTGATGGTACTTTTCCCGCTTCTCTTGAATCTCCTTCTCAATTTCTTCATCCCACCAGTAAGGTTTTTCACTAACTTTTCTATCATCAGCAATACCAAGAGCCTCCATTGCTGCCGAATGAATGCAATCCTTAAGGAACTGATACTGCTGTTCGGTATCACCGTGCCTTGATTCGCCCAACTTCTCATCCAAGCGCTTTCCGTACAATGCCCTTACACTTGGATGCTGCAAGCTGTCAATATTATAGTTTACAAGCTTGACACGATCTTTTTGTTGGTGAACCTGCTTCTGTGCCTGCCTGCTCTCCTGGCTCCCTTTCACTGAGAAAGCTATTTTCGCCCCGAGGAAGTAATGATCGCTGCCGCAGGAAAGACCTCTCCACACTCTAACTTGCTGAATCTTCATTTCCGTGTCTTGCCTGACCACCACATAATCAATGATTGACTTTAACCCGCGAGTGGACTGGACCCAAGTATTTATGAATATCTTTGTGTTGGTAGAACCCATTGAGCACCATCATCTCCCTTTGGTCACATACGTCGATGATACGAGCTCCGTTATCATTTATTGTCGCCTCTCCGAAAGGGCCGACGATCTTACTTTTAACTTGTCGTCCTACTCTACCATTCAGATCTCCCAACACAATTATTTCCCTCCTGGATCCAATCTTGCCAATCCCCTCGTTCAATTCGGATGTGAGATATATTTACCAAAGAAATCCCAGATAAATGATTTGAAAGCTGCCCGAAGAAGGTTATCATAAGCGGTGATGTCTATGATGATCGCTCGGTATCCGCCTATCCAGCACGAACTAGTTTTCGAAAATTAGAGCACACATTTAAGGGGATAACACTACAAATTGCGGATGTAATATCAATAACTAAGCTATGAATAAGGACTTCCTATACCGTCATTGAATAGCTTAGATCGGTATTCAGAGAGCAAACCGGCATAGATCCGTCACACAGACCACTTTCCGGTTTGCTAACCATCTCTCCAAAGGGTAGAATGTGATCCAAATTGATTGCCTTATAATCGACGTTTTGTAATGATCTAATTAGTTCGATAATATCTTCAAAAAATAAAATAACTGACAAGAAAACACTCACTCACCAGGAGACAGGAGACTGAGCAAGGTAGATTTACCAAAGATTACTAAGGAGTCCAGATACCGCATTGAAATAAAAAACGGCCCCCCAGTCCCCTGCAGCTCCAGGGTAGGCAACCTGTTTAGCGGTATGCCATACTTCGAGCTAACGAGTATACTGCTTGCCGTGAGTTTGACCGGTTTCGCCGTGCTGTGCTAAGTTTGGTTGAAGATTCACTGTATTAAATTTTCTTATGTTTAAATCATTAATAATTCCGAAAAAACAAAAAAAAAAAGAAAGAAAGAGAAAAATATTAATGCAAATATCTCTGCTCAATTTTCTGAGTCCATTTACCATGACTAGTGACTAAAATGAACAATTTTCGCAATTTGCCGTTCATAATCTGCACATTTGAAGTGCAATTTCCCGTGCACTTCCATTACAAGTGGGCTAAAGTATGGCATATCGCTACACAGGTTGCCTACCCTGGCGCTGCAGGCGACTGGGGGCGCGCTTCTTTCCTACGGCAAGTATACGGCGTGCGGTATCTGGAGTCCTTAGTAATCTTTGAGATTTACACAGGTATGGACAAGTTGAAAATTTAGCCCATGAGCCTCAGTACGTGTCACATGACTACGTGACGTAGGTTAATGGGCCCGTTTTTTAATTAAATTACAATCAAATTAACATTCAAACGTTTGTGCGTTTAAACGTTAAAATTAATATCGCATTTTCAAAATTGTGCAACAAATCCCACAAAATTTTGACCAACGATAAACCGAACATAATAAATCAAAATAATCAAAACATACAAAATGGCGGAAGTTAAGGGGCCTCTGGAGCTACTCTGGAGAGCCAATCAGAGGCCAGTTGTTTAGTTCTGTCCATACCTGTGTAAATCTACCTTGAGACTGAGAGAGAAATAGAGTGATAAGCAAAACGTAAACAAACCTTCCGAATCAACCATTCATCGCGCGCGCTTTCATATATTTTGAATATTACCGCGAATATTTAATTTGACGGACTATAAATCATCATTTGTACACTTTTCATTGTAATTCTTTCTCAATTTTCTAGATTCCTTTCTTATTAATTAGATCTTTTGTCCAAAAAACGGTGTTTCCACTTGGAAGTCATTTTTTTTCTTCTTTTAAATCCATCGGAAATCGATTGGCCTTACTTAAAATCTGTAAGAAACTCCTCAAATCGATCAGAACTCGATCGTTCAAAATCGGCCTGCTGGTTCCTTTTTGCTTAATGCAAACCAGTTGTGAATAGATTAATCAATGGTAATTGCAAAAAAGCTCCCATAAGTAATGCCCTCCAAATTTTCTGTTTTTTACCCCATGCACCCTAAAAACATTTCGAAGTTTTCTGGACTAGCCTGTCGCATTACCTATCAATTGCAGCACATGCTTTGAGACAATTAACAGCATTCTATTCAGCATGATTGGAAACTTGCTGATTCTATTTTTATTAATCAACATTATATTTCGCCCTTCCTGAGGATTTCTTTTGAATGATTTCTAGATGAAAACTACCTCAGCACTAGATATATGGAAACAATGTCCTTGTATATTACCAAGATCGAAGACCCGAGCTTGAGGTCTCGGCTGTTAGGGGACATAGCCCTACTTGTTGCAAAATATCGAGTAAGTAGCAATTTTAATATTTAAAATTAAGTAATGCTGAGTTTTTACACTTATCCATCGAGATATTACGCAGGGTATTCAAAGAATCTACTCCTCCTTCTGCCAGCTTTTAACTCTTAGATGACTTAACCGGGTCTCTTAGGCCCGGCGGCTTTTTATTTTTTGCGCCACGGCGGCTGTAATTGACCTAGGAGTCTGTCCTTCACAAATAGCTCTGCAAATATCCTTAAAAACATTTTTCTTGAAAAACATTTTTTTTTTCAATTTTATTTTAAGGCACAGCAATTTTTTCTTCATGTCTACCCCTAGAAAGACTAACCGGGGCCTGCGAGGCCCGTTTTGAGAATATATGGTAATTTGATGGCTACAATGCTTTCTTTCTCTATTTTTGGATGAATTTTATGATTTTCATACTTTGACTTCTATAACCAAGGTCCAAAATTTTTTTTTCACCCATTGACTGCCCCCCTCCCAGCCCACCTTAACATCCCTCTCCTCTTCCCAGTCCCTTCAGATCTAGGAGTCTTTCATTGTAAACGCACATTTTTATATCTTTTTTCAGGATTTGAGGAAGTTAAATTGAAGGAGCATTATTACCCCTATAAGTATACTTGAATTTAAGAAGGAGGGGGCAACCTTGCCCACCCTCACCCTCCCCCTCCCCCTCTTTCCGGTAGCCAAAAAAGTAGTACTTTCCGATGTGTTTCTTTCAAAGTTTTGCACTTAGAAGGTTTATTTTTTTTCATTTCGTGAAAAGAAAAGAAAAGTCTAAAATGTATTATTGTACAATTACTACTAATAAATCGCTCTCATGGCACTTCTGTGCGCTCTCCGACACCTAACCGCCACTGACAGCGATCTTGCCAGAGCACCTTTGCTGTAATAGTTGTAGCTGAGGAGTGGTCATGGAGGTAATATACTGTCTAAAAACTGTAAAAGCACCATGCGTTATTTTCTTACAACTAAAAGGTAACACCTTAACATATTCACCGTTTTATAATAATCATTTAAAATTAAAATAATAATAACAACGGTACGATAGCGGAGAAAGTTTGATTCGCCATTGTGTAGTCCCATTCGGTCCATGAATGAGCGATATCACAAAACCCGGCAGTTGCGAGTCCCGCGGTTTCCGCTCTAGTGTATGTGAGATAATTTTTCATGGTCGATGTCACTCCGACAGACTGCATGCTATCGACTTCCGTCCCGTTCACTTTGAACTTCCGTTCAACCTGAATGCAGGTTTTGTAGCATCTGCGGCGGCTCCAGGATTTTTCTCGAGTTTCACTTCTACACACATGAAGATCCTCGAATCTTGAGGCACGGTGATCAGACCGTGGGTATCGGGGGTGAACCGGATCGAATCGTTGTTTCCACGCCGTTCGTCGACCGTACCGAAACGGATGTATTCGTATTCGATGATCTCTTGTCACCAAGCTTCCATCTCGTTCTTATTTCGGATTTTTCACCACGAATCCGAGTTGTGTCAGAGCCCTCTTGAAATATTCGGTCAAAGTTTTCCTCTGCTGCTGTTGCTGCTGTTGTTGTTGTTGACAACTAGTTCGTGGATTATCAATACTATTATATGCGAGAGAATATAGGAACGTATCGTTGTCGTCGTTCTGGATCCTTCGTTTACCCATAAGTTAGCGGTCTCACGTGCAGTCGCACTGTCACTTCTTCACCACCGAAATTGATCGCTCTTCCTTGTTGGTCTACTATATTAACGAGCAAACGTTGGATCTTATCACCCAAGACGGGGTGGTAATGAATCGTCGACGGTTGCTCTACCATTTTGAATCCTGGTTCGATATCGGGAGAAAACGCATAAATGTGATGTCCGCGCACCCCGTTCACGTATCCACCGTCAGCGGTGCTGCATTCGATGCATATCATGTTTACAGGTGAGATGTTGACGCGATAGTCAGCTTCGTGCCATTCGTCCGGTGCCAAGAGACGCTTTCCGAATCCCAGCACCTTACGTAAAGTGCCGGGTCTGCGGAAATCGATCCAGTACTTGGATTTGATGCTTACTTTAAGCGTAGCGTTGTTCGCTTTGAGTTTGATAGCTTCCGCTCCGCCAAGTTCTCCCTGCAAGTATTCTTGTATACCCTCGATCTCGTAGGCTCCGATCGGGAAGGAGATTGCCGAGTAATTCTCTTCAGGGCTCTCGGAGTAGAAAAGCAGTCTGTTCGTTATGTCGATGTTCGGGATGGAATAATAAGTTACAAAACCCGTCAGACCGATCTCGGAAGGACCGAACAACTCGAGAGGTCTAGGCAGTGCAACCTCGAGTACGTTGCTCCTCCCCGTCAACATGAACGTGTGACATCTTTTCTGAGTTTCCATATTTGGTTTCGAGAATTCTATATATTCCTGGTTTGTACGAGCCATTCTAAACATCGTTTCCCGCAGACGCTCGAGTTGAAATTTTGTCCGCTATCATAATTGTATCCTATTGTCGTCGACGTTGAGCTACCGCGTGAGCGTAAAATGTATCGTGTAATTTCAACGGGTGGTGGTAGATCACCGAAGCTGTCGTAGTACAATGCGTTACCGCTCTTTGAAATCCGGTATGCTGTCCAATGTGTACCGGCTCCATAGCTTCGGTCCAGATTGCTGATACCACACTCGGGTCGTTTGGGTTTCTTGCTCGCCAATTCATCGATCATAAACGCACCGCGGAAATGCGGGATTCGTAATTCTTTGTCGCAGCGATCCTCAACTCAACATCCGTCATCGCTCGGCGCGGTAGCTCACGGATCAGTTTAAATTCTTTCGGTAAGGTCTCAAGTAAAGTCCGTAACCTTTACGGTACGGTCGCAAGTACAATCCTTCACCGAGGTGTACATTCTTCTTCAAAGATCCGTCGATGACCGTCTTGATCATTTTCGCTACCGGTGTGATTGTTCGCGCGGCCAGACCGATACTCGTCAGGAGATTCTTGACTCCGGCACCCGTCTTCGGGATAGCGAAGATTCGCTCCGCCGGTTTCTTCTTCTTCTTCGTTTTCGACACCCCGGCACCCATCTTTGGGAGAGCCAAGATTCGTTCGATCGACCGCTCCACCGGTTTTGTCTTCTTGTTTGACGCTCTCTTCTTCTTCTTAGGTTTTGGTTTTTTCGCTGCCACCGTCTTGTTAGGTCCCATTCCGAGTTTGGCTTTGAGTTTCATAGCGTTCGTTACGGCGTATGCAACCGCTCTTTCACCCAACGATGAGTCGGTCGCTTTCACACGTTCCCAAGCTCTGTCGGCAATTATGAGATCGGCTTTGTTCCTCTCGGTGGTGTCTTTGGTCTTACTGTAAGCGATGTCGTGGGACTTGCAAGCTTCGTCGAGCGGATTTATACCCGGATCCCCGCGTTTCAATCGTTCTGCGAGGCGAGTGCCCGGTCCGCAGTACCTGTAGTCGCCCGGTAAGTGTAGTTCGAACGGTAGTGAATTTATCAACGAGTTTAACAGTCCACGTCCTCGATTGGTTTTGCTGCAAGTTGATGTTCTTCTCGGTGACATACTCTGACGAAAATATCCATACTATTTATACGGAGAAGTAAAATAACTCTCCGATAAAATAGGGAACGAATACGATGCGACTCGTCAAGCAAAGAAAGTCATTGCGAGTCCCGAACCTCGACAAACGGAAGAAGCAAAATGAAAACCGACGGCAACGACGACGACGACAGAGTGAACTGTTACCGGATAGTATCCGTTGCATTGTCGCCGGACCGTCCAACTGCGGTAAAACAAACGTGATGGTTTGCTTGCTACAACATCCGAACGGATTGAAGTTCCGCAACGTGTACTTGTACTCCAAGACACCGTTTCAACCCAAGTACGAAGAACTGCGTCAGATATTCCACGGAATCGACGGTCTCAGATACAACGTCTATTCGGACACGGCCGAGATTGTTCCACCAAACGATGCCGCATCGGACTCGGTCTTTATTTTCGATGATGTCGCCTGTGACAAACAAAATGCGATGCGGGATTATTTTAGTATGGGAAGGCATAGCTCGTTCGATAGTTTCTACTTGTGTCAAACTTATTCTCGCATACCGAAACAATTGATTCGCGATAACGCTAACCTGCTCGTAGTTTTCAAACAGGACAATACAAACTTGCGACACATCTA